GGAGCACCGAAATGACAAATTTAGGTTTAAAACAACAACAAAACAATTTTTAATTTGTGCTCCAGCTACTCAATTTGCTGGGAGAGACTGACATTGGCTGTCAAAACAATCTCAGCGAGCTGGTTAATATGGAAAAACACAGGCATAGTTCAGTATGTATATGAATGTCATTGAACCCTGGATACGTCACCTTCCTCTAATCACCGTCCTTGCACTGATGTACCAGCGAAGGGAAGCTTATCTCATCGTTCAGCTGACTGTAGCATCTGCTCTGGCATCTGTTGTTAACAGCGACCATTTCATCGCCACCGCTAACCAGAAAGCACACTGACTAATCTCAGCGTCGTCTGGATATTTTGGAGGATAGTCACAGATGACGAGATTAATGCTTTGCAGCAGCAGCAGCAGCAGCGGCCGATGATCAGAATTGTCAGACGGCTATGAGGAGGTTGTTAGAGCCACACCTGATACCTCGCTTCAGCGGCGGTGTTAAATATTTTCTGTAACTATGTAGTGAGAGAGCGTGGTGGTATTAGAGGTGCTGTGGAAGAATTTCAACAAGCCTCACATGGTTGCCTCTTGATTGGATTCACACACAGCTTGAGAAATACCTTGCGAGCAGTTAACAAGAATACTCAAAAATTGAAGCTGTCATATCCTGATGTCAAAACCCTTCAACACATTTTTTCTCTCTCTGTAATTATAGCCGCCTGTTCCGCACTCACTTCCTCTCTCTTGCCTCCCGTGTGTGTGTATATGTGAGAATCTTTATGTGGGTTTATTCTCTGTAATCTTTTAATGACATGCACTAACGACGCGTTGAGGCTCAGAGAGAACCCAGGCCATGAAACACATACGTATACTCACGCGAACACACACACCAACACACACACACACACACATGGAGTGACTAAGACTCAGTAGAAGGCCCCTGAGAGGATCCACTGGGAGATTAGCCAAATCAGAAAAGAGTTTTAGAGAAAGGCAGCTTTAATGCAACACAACACAGATTTTGCTTGTGTGTGTGTGTATTTGAGAGAAAAGATAGATATCCTTCCTCAAACCCAACATTCTGTTTGCAGCTTCCTCCGACTGATCCTCCTTGTTTCACTTCTATCATCATTCAAGTCGAGTCCCCCATGTTTTTATCGAACATTCAAAACAACAGTAATAGCCACAATTCTGTCCATAAGATTGATGTTATAAATGTACCCAACAAGTTTAAATGTGAAGGTTAAGACTCTATAAATACCTGACTGGCCTAAATGTCAATGCTAAGAGCCTACAGTATTGTAGAATGTACCAAATGATGCTAATAATAATGATAGTAATAAAAATTAGAAAATTATATATGAAAAAAACCCCCCCCAACAAATCCAAAGGTTCCCTGTGAGCAGCATATTGGCAACAGTGATGAGGATGAGCTCCCTTTTAACAGGAAATACCACCAGCAAAGTGAAGGCGGGGGACCATCTGCCTCGACCAGCTAGAGCGAGGCTAAAGAGGAGAGAGCAAAAGATAGCAGAGACAAACAGACAACAAAAAACAGAATATAAACACTTCACAGGTGCAAATCAGCTCCAGAGTAGCACTGCAGAGTACAGAGGGAGAGAGGACGGAATGAACCAAGCACAAAAACATGGAAAAGTGCAAAGAGGGAGCATAAAGTAAAAAGTAAAATCAGTTTTTTGCTCCTATGGTTGTTTTTTTTATGTCAATCCTCAGTCGCTTATATGTATAATCATTTTTCGAGAAAGTGCTCCGAGTTACAGGTTGACTGCGGCTTATAGTAATGTGAGATGTGCCTCATGTATAACAAGAGTTAAATATCGAGATCTCAGCTGCTGTCAGGTTTGGATTTGGTCAACTAATGGACTGTAACATCAGCTACAGGTCCTTCTAAGGGGATGTCTTAGTCTCATCTCTACAGGAAGACTTGTTGTATAAAGACTGTAGGACTTTTAAATAGTATTAAAACTGTACAATACGGTTTAAACTTACAACCTGTTTAAGATGAGCAAATAGGAAAAGAGTTTGCGTTCACTGTCATGACATAGAAAAGCTGACATTCTTATTGTTCTTTGGGGGATAGAGGAGTGAGGTATCTTCCTCTTTGCAATGTTCATTCTCCATATTGTATACAATATGAAATCTGTCAGTGACCCAGCAAAGCGTTTTTTGTTTTCTGAGTTTAATGATTACAACAGACCACGTGTTCAGACCCCAACATGAACAACTTAGCCAAAGACTGAGCATATTGGTGGGAATAAAAAGAGGTTGAACTATAAAAGCAAACTTATCCATCTATACACCACTTAATCCTCACTAGGGTTGCAGGGAGACAGACAACCAAGCACACTCACATTCACACCTATGGACAATTTAGAATCACAACAGGTTTTTGGATGGAGCGGCAAGGTGGAGCGGTGGTTAGCACCATTGCCTCACAGCTAGTAGGTCGCTGGTTCGCGTCCCGGTGGGGACACCCGGGATCGTTCTGTGTGGAGTTTGCATGTTCTCCCCGTGCAGCGTGAGTTCTCTCCGGGTTCTCCGGCTTCCTCCCACAGTCCAAAAACATGTTGAGGTTAATTGGTGATTCTAAATTGTCCGTAGGTGTGAATGTGAGTGTGCTTGGTTGTCTGTCTCTAAGTGTAGCCCTGTGATAGACTGGTAACCTGTCCAGGGTGTCCCCTGCCTTCACCCTGAGTCAGCTGGGATAGACTCCAGCCCCCCTGCGACCCTAGTGAGGATTAAGCGGTGTATAGATAATGGATGGATGGATGTTTTTGGACTGTGCTGGAGGAAGCCGGAGAACCCTAAAAGCAGTTCAAATGAGTAAAATCAGGATCAATACAAAAAAGTAGTTAGATCATCAGGTTGGCAGCAGAGGAGGCTCAACATCAACATCTGTATCTGGTAGTTGCATGCTTATAGTACAGCAAACGCTCCATCATTCCAGAGCACACTGTACTTTCTGTAAACTGCTCTATATTTAAACCTACATCAACCTCATGTTACTGTAATGCTTGATATGACAGCACTTGACTCTCCTGACTGAGTAGAATTTCTCGTCAAGCTTGATGGCGTACACGGGAAGAAAGAATGAGAAACGGGGAAACAAGCGCAGGAAGTACGCCCACGCATAACCTGGCGGAGAGCATATAGACAGTAGAGTAGGTGCACTCGACTCACTTAAAAGTAGGCACCAGTCATGTTCCTGTGATCATTTCACTGTGATCCATTGTGCTGTGGCTAAAAACTGTGTTGCTGTTATAATATTTGCATCAGACTTCTCTGCGCTGGATGTGAGGAAATTTGTTCTGACAAGGACCCATATTTATTTCATGTATTGTGACCAAGTTGAAAAGCTCACAGGGGTGTCTCAGTCCTGGTCTTTAAGCTTTTTTTTTTTTTTTTTTTTTTTTAATTCTAACCTGTATTTGCTTTTGAGGAGACACAGATACAAACAGTTTTGGTAAGGATTTCTTAAAGGTTTAACTAAGCTATGTGCTGAGACCAACCTTTTGGTTTTACAGCTGCCTGGATTACAGTATAGTGAAATGAATTAATTTTAATCACAAACGTTAATGAGGTGCTCTGAGGTATCATTTTCATAAGAGACCGAGCAAAAGTCCCAAAGTTTGAAAGCAAAGGATTTGTGTCTGAAATAGAAACTTCTTCTGGCTTTAGTTTGAACCATATTTATCGTTTAAGTGTTTTTTTGGGGTTTTTTGTCTTTCAGAGTAAGAGAATTTTAAAAAAAGGAAAGAAGTGCAAGGAATCAAAGCACCTTAAACACCGTGCTTGATGTAAACTTATCTGTAAACAGCTCACTTTGTACACTTAATATCAAATATCCATTCAGTCTGACTTTTTTTGGAATTCCACCCACCAGGATTGATTCTATTGAACGCCATCTAAATAACAACATGAATCCTCAGACCAACAGCAAATATAGGTGCCGTGAGGTTGCTATGGCAATGTACGCACTGTAACTTTGTAGATAAGAGACAAATCTGGTGGTCGTGAACTGAGCATTTGAGGCAGATGAGCTTTAAAACAGCCCAAACTGAGCAGACAGCAGAACAGCGCTGCCGTGTTATGTTACTGGAGAAAAAACGTTGTTAATGTTGACAGAAAATCAGCACTCGTCGGATATTAGACTGGCTTACATGCCACATACCAAATCTTTTCAACATATGTGAAACAAGACGTGTATTCTTCTTAAAGCTGAGGAAGAAGGATACGCTGACTAGCTATTTATCATTAACAGCCCCAGGGTTCAGTGGCATCAGTAAAAATGTGTGTACAGTAGGTGAAAAACACAGCATCACTGCCAACTGTTAATCCGGGTGGATAAACTCACCTGTTGGTGAAGCTCTGCAAAATGCCAGAAAATAGACACACAGCATCCTGCGCTAAATCTTGCTTACCAGCTCAGTTTGCTGCCATTTATCTGTCTCACTTACTTGGAGGATTTCTGTGGTTAAAATCCAGTTGAAATGCACAGATTTCTGGAATAGACCTCGCTGAAATACCAACAGAAGTCAGCAAATGGTATTCTCTAAATGGTAACCAGCTGATTAGTCAGTCATACATCTCAGGCGACACCCGAGGGAAGGAGGTATTCTATATTCTGTCTTTGACGAAACAGTTGGAAAGAGGTTTTTGTTTGCAGCAGGAAATAAACACATAGAAATGAATGTTTAATTTGCCAGCAAGTTAGTTTTCAGTTATTGATGACATCACTTGGAGCCAACCCAATTAACACCAGTGGTTTACAATCAATTATTGTAAGGAATGGTTTACTACACTTTACTTGGGATTTCTAAGGAAATTAATTTACACTTGTGTTATCGAAAGTGCCAACAGCTCCACACATTCACTGTGTTCACTTGGTATTATTTGTGTTCACAGTATAGGCTACAATGTGTGGTTTACACCAGATTTGAAAAAATGAAATCTTTCCAAACTCACTCTGTAAGACTGAAGCGAAGCGGTTTCTCTTTTCTTTTGAAAGGTTTTATTCATTTCATATAATACTGACACATGTACTCAATAGCGGTTAACAGGCGTTTAAAAACACAGATATTAAAACCATTAGAGCATCAATGTATTTTTAGCCCCGTTGATTCCATGGACCATTTTTTACACGTTTACATGTTTCAATATACCATAACATCTACTTGGTATTAGTCTAACCTCAACCCCTGAAAGGATTTTTGTCCTTTGTCAAAAAAAACAAAACAAAAACAAAAAAGCAAAGAGAAGATTGACAAACTGTCTCTGCATTTTAAAAAATGGCATGTGGTAAGCCACAAACTATTTAAGGTAAAATACTCTTATGGAGGTGAAATCCGATAAAATAAAAGGTTCAGTTTCGGGTCTGAGGAACATTTTGACAGCATTAAGTGTGTCGTATGTGGCACAGGTAAATTTAAACGTGTCATCCAGACTACATGAGGCAAGCATTCTGGATCCACTCCCTCTTTTTTTTGTAGTGATGTTTGTAATACAGGGTAGCTGTCTAAAATCCAGAGCGCCCATTATTCCCAGTATGCATATCAAACACAACTCAGCCATAGAAGAGAGATGAAGAATATAGATTGTTGTAAAGAAGTTGTTGGGTTTTTTTTGTTTGTTTTTTTGTCATCTAATCGAGTGCTGTTTAGGTCATAGTTCACTTTGTTGTTGTTTGTAGTAGCGGTAAAGGTTTAGGAGGAGGAGGGGGGGATGCAGTCCTCTGCAGTAAAGGACCAAAGACACTCAGCTGTGTTTAAGGTGATGGCAAGCAGCGTTAGAGTCCTGTCTCTTTTTTAGCCACCATTTCTTGGATATCTTCAGAAAAATGAAACGATTACTGGTTCCTCACAGAAGTCCATCTGAGTACATTTCCTCACAACTTGATAGGTCCATTGTGCTGTGTAAGTACTTCCACCGCCATTTCTTTCTGCGTGTCTTGAGATGGGCAGGACTATCGAGTCACCTGAAGAGGGAGAGAGAAGGAGAGGGTCAAAACTCACTAAGAAAAAAAAGCTAAAAAAAAAAGTTGGGAAATAGCCTGAAACAGTAAAGGTCACAGAAAAGAGTATGGAGCAAGTGCTGGTAGTACATGTCAATGGAGAGGTTTAAATAATGCAATGCTGTGCAGTGCTGGCTGCTATTTGGAAATAATGGGAAAGGATTCTTCGTGGTAGAGCCCTGACAACGTGGCTAGCACGCTCGGTGTCTCTTTTGGCAAGAGACTAAACAAGACACAGTTTGAATCATGGCAGCCGGCCCACAGTACCTCACTCGCAGCACCTGGCCCGCTGCCATGTCATTTCGTCTATTTGTCGAGACGGCTGCTCTAATCACATGGTCTCTTTATCTCGTCTATCCATCTTTCCATTTTCTTTGCCCATACACTCATTTTTGGTTTATTTCAAGCTATTAGGAGACATTTTCTCCCAGCCAACGACCAAACAGACACAATTTGCTGTATAACTGCCAGTACTCGGGCATATAATAGACCAGACTCTCGATGACTGTTTCCTGCATGCCTCTCTCCCTCATTGTGTTTCCCAGCAGCTTCCCCTCTTAGACCCAACACATGCTGTCCCTCCTGTATTTCCTCTTGAGGGAGTCGCTCTTTTCTGCGACCCAGGTGCCAGCTAACAAAGTGTGAAGGCCAGCCATCACCGAGAGAGCTCAGAGCAGCATTTCCTCCCAGCTGGCAGCTGAAATTGTTCTACTGTATCTGCTCTTGATGGCTCCGGGCCACCCTTCCTGGGCCCATTCCCATTGCCTTCGGGCATCTACTCCTGCGCCTGATCAAAGAGTCTGCAGGCGTTTGCTGTCACGCCAGTTCACTATGCACGCACACCACTGCATCTCTGTGCCTGTTACGCTTTAAGGTGCAAAGTCAAAGTCCCTTTAGGTGTTCATCCCCTCGCCTGTTTAAATATGCCTGTAGGTGGCAGTTTCTGTGCCCAATTAAAGGGCGGATTTAGGTAGTTAGATCTCAATTTACAAAGCACACAAGAAGTGCTTGAGTGTCATATCTACGGGCTTTTTTAGGCCCATGAGTGGTACATTTTCCACTGCTTATTTCAACAGCTTTAGCTGTCGACACTAGTGGCTGCTCATATGGCCACGAGGCAGATGTCCCCTTCACTCACACATTTTACATACTTTTCATGACTCACCCAAGAGTAAATTATGAAAAGAATCACTGCAGTTGTTTGATCTTGATTTATTTGTATTTTTTATTCTTTCATAGTCTAGAAGCTGCCTTTAATTAAATCTACACACAATGTTTGACAGATCTTGATTAACAGTTCCCATCGTTTCCATCAATGCAATCAAAGAGAGAAGTGCCTACAGACCTTCTTGCCTAAAGAGGTTTGTCGTAAGCTAGCTATAGGAAGTGAAATTGTCATGCACGACTGACACCTTGTCATTTGTTTGTGTGTATGTCTATTTGTGCATCTACACAAACGCGCACACACTTGCATTGCAGTCTATGACAGCTCAGTGGCTTGGCAGCCCGGCCATGTCTGTCTACTCATCCATACGATATTATTTGGCATTGATCGAGCTGTCTTCTATCCCCTCCTCCTCTCCTCCCTCTGCCCTCCTCCTCTCCTCCTTTCCTCTGGTTCCAGCCAAGGATGGAGGGAAGGATCGAGAGCGCCAAATCCTTTCTGTGTTCTCGCCTGCTCCTTGTCAGCTGACCAGTTCCAGTATGCTTGTTTTCAAGTGTTTTCTTTATTCTTTTATCCCCCATCACCTCTGCCTTCAGCCTTTCCTCTCCACTTTCCACTTGTTATTGTTTCTGTCTCATCCATCTCCACCTGCCTCTTTCCTCCTCTCTGCTGCTCCCCATCTCTCTCTCTCTCTCTCTCTCTCCCTCATCCTCTTTCTCTCTCACTCCATCGTCAATTTCAATTTACGAGCGGGTCTTAATGGGACTATAAGAGAACGTTCGATGCTATTGATCTGGATGCCTGCGCATCTTGACCTCAGCGTACAACACCAGAGGAGAAAAAAAAAATCCCTCTTTTCATCATCAGGCACACACGTCAGCTAACTCTCTCAAATAGTGTCAACACACGCACACATAAAAAGAGACACACAAACACACAAGCGCACACAGATCATTGATCAAAGACCTGAATGCAAGAGACAGCAAATATTTGTGCTCTTTTAAACTACGACAGAGTCAATGATAAAGCGATGCCTGGCTGAAACCGGTTTGCTTTGATCATGCTCAGGAAATTTTAAACGCGCACTTTGGGGCTAATAAAACTAAATGCATGACATCAGTTATACGAAGCAACTTTCGAATGACATTCACATATTCAGAAACCGCATCACCTTCATATCCAATCACGTGCTTCTCTCTTCAATTATGCCTGAAACATACTTCAAGACCACTTATTTCCTACTCTTTGTCTCTTTTTGATGTGACTGAATTGGGAAAATTCACTTCTTCTTTTGAGCTAGGGCCAGCACAGCAGAAAAGGATTTCAGGGTGAGAATAAGAGGAGGGGCTGCTGAGGAGGAAAGAAGAACTCGGGGAGGCGTGATCCACTTTGCTAGGTGAGAGGTGAGCAGAGGAAAAAGTAAGAAAGGAATTCTTGATCATCTGGGTATACAGGAGACTGTCTCTGAGTGTTTTAAAGAAAGAGGGAGTGGGGTGGGCGGGGGAGGAGAAGGGGAAACCACATGTGTCTTAAGCTTTTCTTATCCCTGTCTTTTACCCAAGGAGATGCACTCTCTCCTCTGACCACGCCTTCAATCAATTATTTAGGCAGAAAACAAAGGTCTGCACCCAGCCATGAATAATGGAAGGTGAGAAGGCAGAGAGAAGGATGGAGGTTAGAAACAGAAGCGTACAGTGACAAGAGGTGAGTCTCACACAAATTTTTTTCCTATGACAGACAGCTAAGAGCCTGCTCAGGTCAAGGCGCTGAAGAGAAGCCAACAGGTGCAGATGGAGGGCTGAGCAGAAATATATATAATGCACAACTACACACCTATTCACAAACACAGAGAGAGCCCGAGACAAACAGACAGTATACGAAACGGAGGAAATAAAAAAACACGGATGCACATACCACACGAGCTGTATTATGGAGGAAGTAGAGCATAAAAACTATTTGAGGACATTTACCACTCTAGTGTATCGAACGTGGTGCGTTCTTTTTTTTTTTGCACAGAGTCAGATGGCATGCCAGTCAGACGCAGGGAAGCAGGGCAAGCGAGAGGGAAGGGAATTGTTTTTTGTTCAACGTGCGTTCGCATGCGTGTAGTGCATGTGTGTCTCTGCGTTATTTGCCTTGTTCTTGTTGGCCTTATTTTTCTTCCCAGAATGTTTGATGTTAGATCCAAGGTGGAGAAAATAAAGAAAGAAAAATTGGGTAAAGCAAAAAAAAAAAAAAGTGTGATATTGGGTGAGGAGAGAGAGAGAGGATGAAGACAAATAAGACAGAAAGTAGTATGAAAGGAAGTGAGGGATATAGTCTAACATGATAGAGGTGGAAATGGGTCACTCCAAGTGTGTGCAGGCATGTATGTGGTAAAGGGATGATAAGAGCGAGTGTGTGCAGGAGACGGGGGAACAGACATTCTGAAGAAAGAAAGATTGTGTGCACACCAACCTTTGTGGTTTTGACTTTGTTGCCTGAGCTGCAGCTCCATCCTGTGAGGTCTGGCAGAACTTTGCACTCCTCACCTTCCATACATGGCTGCATCTGACACCACCACTTCTGGGCTACAATGGAGGCTGCAGGAACAGCGAGAGAAGGCGGCAGATATTTAGTTTGGCGAAGACGTGACTCAGTGTTTGTGTTTTCATTCATGTGTCTCCAGACCATGTATTTGTGAATTTTGACACCCAGCTTTCCTTTGCCATGTTTCCATCTAAATTTCACACGGACAAAGAGTTTCCAGAAGATCAATGTGCGTATCCAGCGCGGTTATGTGAATAATTGGGGAGCTTGGCACGTTTAGATAAACAGTTGGAAGCGCTAATTCTAGAATCGGGTACCATTAAATCATAATGTGGAAAAGGCTGCAACGAATTATGTAATTAAGAGAGCACCGGTCAAACTAGTTAAATGAACTAAACTAAACGTGGAAAATGTGACGTGGAGAATATTTGTGTTTGTTTCATTGATAATTTGAGGAATATTACAGTCTCGTCATCACTCGACACAGATCTGCTATTTAGAAACTCAGCTTTTGTTGTACAGAATTGGAAAATGGCCATACAAGAAGATACCTTCACAACAACATGATTAGAATGACCCCAAAGATCCTGGCAAACAACGTACAATCAAATCAAAGGAAAGATCAGCGTGAGCTTCAATGCAAGGCCATCAACTATTAAAAAAATGTCACACAGCTGTTATCTAGTAGATGTTTTCATCAAACATTTTTGGTTATCTTTCCATAATTAGGGTGGAATCTGATGTTGCCACATCCCGATAAATAGTTAATTGATCAGACATGTGGCTTACTGTATAGACAATCACAGAGACACCATCAAATTAAAATAGGTTTTACAAATACATTTTTATTCCTCAAAGACTGTACAAATACTTTGGCAATCTTTGAACAATAAAGAAAAATTAGCTAAGTTCTGTTTGGAGAGCAATTTTTAAATGCAGATTATTGCTGTACGCGCGGGTTTCATCGGCACTGGAGTCATGTGAATTTAATCAGCACAAAACAGATCGTTTACATTTTCATTTCAAAAGGGGCAAGATATGAATGAGGCATCTGGGAATGTTGTGATCTTCTAGGGTTTATAGATCACATCAGATTACATTAAAAAAAGTAATTAATGAAGTGTGTTTGGCAAACGTTGCAGAGTAAAAATGACTTCAGACATATCAAAAAACAAGACGACGACTAAATATCAGAAAAAAACTGACTGAATGAATATGTGACTGTATGCAATGTGCCACAGTCACTTTCCAGGTCATGTGAATACTTGAGTAATTGTCAGGTCTTATGGGAGAATTCTAGTTTAGTTTAGCTTGATGCACTGCGCCTCGCTGAATGCAACACTGGTGCAGTCAATGGATGGTAGAAGTCAAACAGCTAGTGAGATGGAGATCATGTGAGTGCAGTTAATGTGTCTCATGTACTTGTAAATACACCAGTTTATTAAAGTTTCGGTCACTGGTGAATCAGTACTCCAAGCAACTCCATGAAAAGGTTATTGAAACGCATAAGTCAGGGGATAGATTCTAGGAAATTTCCAAGTCACTGAATATCGGTTGGAGTACAATTAAATCCATAATTAAGAAATGGAAGAAATATGGCATAATGTATAATTCTGCCTTGAGCAGGCCGTCCTCAAAAACTGAGTCACCAGGCAAAAAAGATTCTCGTAGTTTAATCGTAGCAACTGGACTTGCTTGAGTTCCTTGAAGACATTTCACCTCTCATCTAACAGGCTTCATTAGTTCTGACTGACTAGTTGGGAGTTCCAGATACTGATATCGTTAAGGAGCGATTAACACTTGAGTTTCGGTTTCAATTGGAGTGAGAAAGGCCACCAAGAAACCCATGACTCATCTGAAAGAAATACAAGCTTTACATGGGTCAGGCGGTGCATACAAGAGTGGTTGCCTGTTCTTTATCAGTCAAAGCGTTATGGGAGAATGACAAAGAGAAAGCCACTGTTGAAAATATTTAATCTCTACTAGAGTTCACCAGAAGGGGAGACTCTAAAGTCAACGAGAAGATGGTTCTTTGGTCTAATGAGACAAAAATGTAGGTTTTCGGCGATCAGACTAGATGCTATAGTTGGTGGACGCCAAATACCGCACATCACCACTAACACACCATGAAGCATGGCGGTGGCAGCGTCATGATGTGAGGTTGCTTCTCGGCAGCAGGCCCTAAAAAGGCTTGTAATAGGTTAAATTAATACAGCAAAGTACAGTGAAATCCTGGAGGACAACCTGATGCAGTCTACAAGAGAACTGCCACTTAGAAGAAAATTTGTTTTCCAGCAAGACAATTTCCAAAAGCATACAGCGAAAGCAAGACAGAAATAGACGACTAAGTGTATGATGTGGAGTGGCCGAATCAGAGTCCAGACCTCAATTCAGATGAGAATTTATGGCTGGGCTTGAAAAGGGCTGTTTACTCCCGATTATTGTGCAGCTTGAAAGAACCTGGGCAGTTTTGAAAAGAGGAACAGGGTAAAGCTGCAGTGTCTCGATGTGCAAGGTTGGTACAGACTGTTCACACAGGCTCAATGCAGTAATTGTGGCCAAAGGTGTATCTACTAAATACTGACTTGAAGGGAGTGAATACTTTTGCAGTCACTTGTGTAATTTTTTATATTTTTAATTAACTGGCATTACTTTGTAGCAATCTGTTTTCACTTTGAGTCTCTTTTTGTAAATTTTTGTAAAAGAAAAAAAACAAGAAAAAAGCTGAATTATATTGAACGTGATTCAATATAATTCAGCAATAAAATGGGAAAACCTTCAAGTGGGTTGAATACTTTTAAAAAGCACTGTATTTCCAGTGAATGTGGCTATTGTGGCTCCAAGTGTCATGCTAACTTTAAACTCTTCACCATCATTGTAAAGATTTGGGGTAATGAGGAGTTGCACAAAACAGCTTGGGAACGGGATTCATTGGGGCAATTCAGCATGCGCTCCAGCAGGAAAGCCGATTTTTACATAAACCATCTTAGCCATTTCTTTTTAGTCAAACCAAAAGTAAACACAGAAATTAGGCACCTGGAGAGCTCATTTTGATAACCGCTGAACGTTTTGTTCAACTGGCCTTGGTCTTATCCTGATTTTGGAGAGGGAAAACACAGCCACCTTGATTGCAATGTTTGTCAAAGCAGCAGATTCATTATTTGTAGTTCCATAGCTGCCATCAGCGGGTCCCACTCTTTGCAGCCAAAGTTTTCCTCCTCAGTCGGCAGCAGACCAGTTTCCTGAGATGCTTTGTCTTTCATGATGTTCTGCTGTCTTTCTTCGTCTACCTCCATCCTCTGCGGTTTGGCTTCCTTTTGATTTAGCTCCTGATCAACACACCTCAGATCAATCAAACATGGCCGACCATCAAACAGAAATGATCTGCTGTTGTCCGTGTGATGGTCCATGGGTATTCCACAACTGGTTTTAACTGTTGAGTGGAAGACAGTGCGACCACAGTGAGAGTCAGCCCGACACATGGGGACAAACCAGCGTGCCGGTGAAGTCAACTGGCAAGCATTCCTGGATTGAGATCCTTTATGCAGGTAGACAACATAGCCGTTCCAGATGGCTAATTTCTGTTTACCTTTGGTCAGACTGCAAACATGAAATGATGCATATAAAAATTTGCTTTCTTTGGGAACTCCTCATTTCAGTAGCCGCATTCATGGAAAATATGCCAGATTGAAATAAACCAGAATTTTTCTTTAACTAAATACTTTATTGGTGAAGACACCAATGAAGACCAAAACAGTCTTCAAGGGTGTCATTCGTAAGGGGCTAGGGGCTAGTCCATCTTTAAAATACTATCTAATGAATTTGCACACATGGTAGTCATATTTTAAGCACAGAAATTCCAGTATACAGAACTTTGTTGGTTGATAGTTAATCTTTGAACTACCCTGGAACCTACACATAATCTTACTGTGTTTGTTAAGCTGTTGAGGTGATTCTGTGGTGAGTTAAGTACATAGTTTGTGATTCTTTAACATCTGCTAAGTTAAAAGTACTTCATTATTCTTGCCCTTTTTCTTCTTTTGCCCTGCTGTACTACAAATGAATATTTCCCCTTATGTTAGAGAGGATATTTGAACGAAATCTCACCCAAAAGAAAAAAAACAAAACAACAGAGCCACAAAGACTGCAGCCTGTGATTTCATCAAGTGCCACTTTTGACTGCTGTCGTGGCTGCCAGATTCTGATTTTGTGGGCACAGACAGTAGCCACGGTTGCTTTATGGGCATATGGGTAGACTTTCTAGCTTAGAAATGCGAGCACCGCTGCGAAACAAATCTCATTTATGTGTAAAAGCCCACTTACATCTGGGTCTAAAGAATCATCTTTCATATGCCGTCAACAAAGCCGCTCCAGAAAAATAACACTTTCTGGAGATTAGAATATTTGCGATCAAGATTCTTTTTGGGAGCTATTTTATGCTACTAGAGGGAGGAAGCAGTTATATGCACATCACGTAGGTGCAAGGTTTTTAGTTCGCATAACAGTAATGAGTGCTCCAGATACTAAGAGGAACATGAGAATTCTTCTTCATGGAGTATTTTCACTATTTTGCTTCTTAAGAATCACTCTTAGAATGTTCAAACCCTGTCTCCTAGAAATTACGTTTCTTACCAATTAAATGCTCACATTCAGGTGCACAGAAATCATTAGCTGGATTAAATTCAATGGAAGTGTTGAGTTTCTTGTGATAAAGTAAGTGTCACATTCATGAACTGTTTCAGTAAGCAGGAGATGTATGGGCTGAATAGTGGCTGTACAAAATGCTCCACTCTCACACCTTAGACGGGAGTGTAGGCAGAAAAAGCCCTTCGGTTGAGCTAAGGAGAGGATAACAGCTTTGGTTAAATGTAAACGCATTGTGCCTGAAGTTAATGTGGACTTGTCTCTGTTTAAACGCCCTGTTAGTTTCTGATATTAATCAAGGACAAAACCATAAAAAAATGTAATGAGTACAAACTGTACTTGAAAAACAAACATTTAGGTGGAACAACTTATATTTCCACTTCTAGTGATATATTAATAACACGTCTGTATTATGTTGAAAGACAAGATTATCTGGTTGCAAAATATATTTCCTGCAAAGCATATTTGATTTTAATTTGCTTTTGTCTTTATCGAAAATTAATTTCTTGGAGAGAAGGTTGATTTTGTCATTTGATGAGAAGCACTGACTATTTTTTCTCTGCAGAACAGTTCAGGTTTCGTGGTTTATTCGGATAGCAGGCATTTTATTGTTTTTTGTTTACAACCTTTGATTTGGATTGTGCATCAAGGTAACTGGGCAAAGTTATTCATGAATCAGCCATTTTAGTGACAGTTCTCCTGTCACCATGTAGTTGCACACACAGCTGCTGCATCTATTGGCTTAGCTCCAACCGATGGGTTGCGATTGGTCTACAGAAGTACAAACAAGCTAGAGCACTGCTTTTTTTTTTCCATTGAGCAGAATGATAATGGGATGCAGCCAGACCATTCTGCGCTGTCTGGCTATGTGAGACCTTCAGTACACAGAAATCCTACCAAGAGAGTCCTGATATCTGTGGCCTCCCTGTCAAATCAAAGTTTACTTCAGTCGTGTGTCAATTCTTATATTTCTCACTACACACAGAATTTCTTGGTCAACACCTCTTCTGAAAAAAGTTTTGCTTAACTTTAGCTCTTGCTAATGCAAGCAACGCACATCTGACCTACTTAAACAGACTGCTGCTAATAGAGTGTAAACCAGACTCTAAATTGTACACAGCAATACAATATTTCTTTCAGAATCAATTAATGCAAACACGACTCCGTGCTCGGCCTGAAACAAATTAACTCACGCTATACTCTATTATCATGCAAAGAAACAGCGTGATGAGCATGAAAACATTAAAACACTTCTCCAACCAGGTTTGCATCAGGCAGTGGAAATATGCAGATGCGTACAAAACATACACAAAAACGCACATGCAGTTGTACATACCATCAACGCAGGAGGGCATAGCCCGAGTGGTGCCAGCGACCTGTCCAGGGAAGCAGGAACATTTGACAGTCTGAGATCTCTCCTCAATCTTGTTCTTGTTGCAGCAACGATGGGCAGCAATAACCTCACATGTGCCAGCCTTCACATGCACTGTGGAAGAGAGAGACGAACACAGACTTCAGTATGAAAGGCTCTCAGTGATGCCTCTGTGTGTGTGTGTGTGCGTGTGTGTGTGTGTGTGTGTTTAATAGTTGTCTTGGAGACAGTGAAAGATTTTTATACCAGATGAGTGCGTTTCTGGATCTTTGAGCAGTTGCCCACATTTCATATGTTTTCAATGTCTGCAGTGCTTACACAGTTGAAAAACAACCAACAATTGCAATTATGTCGGAGAAATTAAGATTACGGATGTTATGTTATCTTCCTGTGTTCAAACCAGGCAAATAACGAGTGTCAAATAGCTGAAAACTATATGACATTGTAAGAGGAGTCAAAGAAATACCAGCACTTAAATAACCTGAGCAAAACAACCCCCTCCACACAAAGAATGGCAACATGGATGTGATATCAGCCTGAATAATGAAGTGCAGCGAAAAAGGCTGTGCAGTCCAGATTATAAGGCTATTATCAGAAAGCCATGAGCCGTGCAAAGATGCAGTTTACATTTAGAGTTATCAAATTATCCATGTTTGTGGATGCTTTATTTACACACTGGTGAGTGCACAAACAAAATTACGAATGTAAAAATATATATCGCTTTCAGACACTCGTACATAAATATAGCAAAATGTGGAAGTCACACTTTTTTTGCTGCATGGCTCCGGAGCCGCTGCTGTTATTTCGCTTTGAGGACATGCACAGAAAATATATGTTATGTCTCTTGTAGTCCTTGTAAAACTCACGGAGTAAAACAGTAACTCAGAAAGGGAGGAAAACAGGCAATGTCTGTGTTAGAATATAACGTTTGTAGTGTTCCAATTTGCAGTGGTGCTAATGAACGGGAGATGTGGGGAAGAAAAAAAAAAAAAACACTTCACTTGTTTTGTAGCTAAAACTTTGTGTGCAAATTTATATACACAAATTTCAATCAAGCAGCCATGTGGTTAATTAACGAGTTCACCCCAAGCACAGAAGTCGTTGAGTCAGCTAATGGAGAGAGAGAGAGAGAGGGGAACAGAGAAATCACATTACATTTGAGGATTTCTGATGTCAACACATGGTCCTTTCATACCAGCCTTTCATCTAATACATGAAAATGTCAAGGACAAACAATACGCCTTGTCGGTAGCACTGCTTGCAAGTAGGCAGTGGTTGTGTTTGTATGAGTGCACCTGTATGCAGAACATGTGTTCAGACATGCTTGACTTTGCTTGTTGCATGTGGACGATTTACATGCACATACATGTAGTTCCAACACACAACATGTGGCTGCGTGGCTGTGAAAGTCAAAGTCTGGTGTGTGTGTGTATGTGTGTGTTTTGGCTTTTCAAACAGTTGTTGGAAGTTACTGTTATTTCCATTACAAAGAGCCCGCCCACGACACAACAAAGGGTGCACACTGCATGGCAATGAAAACTAAAGCAGAAAACAATGGCTCTGCTCTGTCTAAAGAGTATTTAAAAGTGAGGCGAGTCGAATTGAAAGACCCCGTATGAATATGTTAAGCAAACTAACAAGATTTGAAAAAGTTCTTAATTTGCTCTGTTAATGAGAAAAAGACAAAGCGGCAATCCCGCAAAGCCCAGTCCAATTAATATCTGTGTGAAAAGCACACTCGGATGTCTCACCCACTGTGTGCATCTCTCTCATTGTTCTTTCTGATTTCCCTTTTTTGTTCCACAAGCAGTGAGTCCAAAGGATAGAGATAAAGTTTGATTGACTGTCCATCGGTCCAACACTTTGAGACACAAAAAGATATCTCAACAACTACTGAGCAGATTGCCATTCGATAGAAAGTTCCATTCGTCTACAGGAAACAGCTACGCGTTGGGGAGATTGTCATAAACTGTGCTGCGCAAATATATTGTTATCAGACCAAAAAAAAGCTTATTATATTTTGGACATTCTGTGGACTTTCGTTTCACAAGCGCCTCTGGTCAAATGTTGAGCAGCACTGTATTTACTGGCTGGAATAATGAGAAATTATGTCATTAATGCTCTCCAGAGGACAAGCCTTACCGACTGTGGTGGCCTCTTGACCTTGTCTATGTTCATGCACTTAGGCTGTACTTTTACGATCTCCACAGGGCCTCGGTCCATTTTCACTCAAACGCTGCTTTTGTGTCGAATTATTAGATTTGCACACAAATAAATATAGCCAGTTTACCATCTTTCTTTCATTGCTTCTCCTTATGTCTCTCTTTGATTACCTATAAAAATACACAATAAGTTTAGCTGCATGAACAAATCCCAAACATGCTCGCTCCTTAGTTCATAAAGGCCTAGAATATCCCGTCGCCCTCCATCGCTTTCCTCCATCGCCTTCCTCGTTGGCTCTCCTGTGGCATGCTAGTCGCAGCCATATACCCCGTCCATATCCGTAGACCTCTGCTGGTAGGGGCTGTGTGCACCCCAACACTCTCCCAGCCTTCTTCTGCAAAGGTTGAGATACTTGAGACTTGTGGGTTTCCCGTCTGGTGGTTTAAAGCCCAGCTGCTCAGAACCTTAACCTCTGCCCAGTGTAGGAACTTCTCACTAGTCCCCCTTTATGCACCTCTGG